TGAAATATATGCTTTGACTTTGACTTCATGCAGTAAACAATTTTTTAATGTTGCCTCACATTAAGATTTTCTCCTATCTTCAGCGTGTTTACAAACATAACTACAAATCGCATCTGGGTATGAAGCACCCAGAAAAATAATTAGTGGATCACTCAAAGAGTAGTTGCGTAAAAGTAAAAACTGTTGTAAACTCTTTAAGTCTGTAGTCTTCACTTCGGTCAACAAAGAGAAAGTGTCACAGATGGTTAAATAATATTAAAAATAAGTGACAAAAAAAAATTTGACTGCCTCGTTAGCCGCGTGTTCGCATGCCTGCCGCTTTGTCGCCGACAGCAGGGCAAGGGGTCTCGGGTTTAAAAAAAAAATCTTAAAAAAGCTCAGTAGTAGCACGGAGTCTGAAATTGTGCCCGGTATATGGCAATAGGCTCACCGCCTGTTATATGGTAGGTACTCATTACGTAAATAGTGAAAAGTGGGTGTTACATTGTACAGGGCATTAAGTGCCGTAATGTGCACCTCTGCCTACCTTTTCGGGGATAAAAGGCGTGATTTTATTTTTTTGTTTTATTTATTTAGAAAACCAACAGCGTTACATATAGTTTACAAAAGTTTGCGTGAATTACAGAGATTAAGGCTAATAATAGGCTTCCCTTATTTTCTAGATTTTGTAAACATGCGAACGGACTTAATTAAATTAACAAAATAAGATCAATAACAAAAATGTTGTTATGATGACGTTGATAAAAGGGACAAATTAGTAAAATAATTGCAATTCATTATTTACACTGGAAGATTCAAGGTCCTGCAATTAAGTTGTAAATAAATAGAGTATGTTTTACATTGACACAGCTGTTTCGTGGCAATGTAGACATTCAGTAAGGTTATTGTAATTGGATACTAACTATTATTTACTAAAGTAATGAATTACTTTTACTCTCTTGTAATGTTAATACTCAGTTTGTGTGATAGTCTAAGATCCGACTGCAGAATCAGTGTACCAATCGAGTGTTTGCTGAAAACCAAATTTTTACACATATTCATGATTAGGAGAATTAATATCCACCAGGTTGCCTATCAAAATGTGGCCGCTAGTATTTTTAATTAAATTATTAATAATTCATAATCCGTAAGAAATTTCATTGACTTTTTTTTTCAATGAAATGTCGTCTACTTTACGGCAACATCTATAAAGACTCTGAAAAATTATGGTTGCCGTTGCGCACCTGGCCGCACCTCTTCGCAGCCAGGTATACACAGGTATGAATTTGTTACATTTATACACCCACAACGTACATTTATAATTTATATATCAAATTAAAGCAAATTTTTTTCTGTATATTATTATATACGGTTGCTTAATTAAATCTGGCCGCCAATAAGGGTTGCTGGCTAATAAATATAGTAAATATTAAAAGTAGAGTGAAAGAGAGCTAGCGCGTAACACCACTAGTCAGACGAGGATAGCGATTGCCAGCTGTCGGACGGTTTAAAGCCATTGCGCATGCGTCAGATTTAACATTTTACGTGCCTTATGTATGAACTCCCAAAGTGCCAAAGTGTAAATGCCGCAAGATTTTTATTATTCAACAAAATGTACGCTTCAAAAGGAAGTAGTGAGAAATTTATGAGAAGAATTAAAGGTTTTGACTCAACGCACATTCCACCATGCTGGAAATCTTTAAAGGAAAAATTATTGCGAACCATCTTTGTTAATTCGATGTGGTTAAATGCTACTGAGCGGGATTGCATCAAGTTCAGCGCGGAAAATAATGGCTGGCTGCTGTTAGATGGTTTTTTAAAACCAACATGGTTCCTGGGAGATCCAACTCCAGCGCAAGTTGAGAATGTGCTGTGTGATTCCACGAACAAGCCTTCCGATAATAACGACGATACCGATATTTCTGATGAAAGTGATAGCTGCGATGATAGTGTGACTGAGAGCTCCGATGATTCAGATTTTTAAAAAAGAGTCATGGAAGTATAATACAAATATAATACATTTTAAAAATTTATAATTTGCTTAAACTGATGATTGATGAATATGTAAAATAAATGTAATACTTGAATAAAATTAAATCTTTTTTCATACAGTACTTGTACAACACAATTTTTTTACATAAGTAACCTTGATTTTATTTATCATCAATATTCATTTTTTTTTGTAATTTTTAAATTTGTCATTGACTTTTTAATTTTTTATTTTAGAAAAGAAAGACGTTTCTTTTGGAGTATTTATTATTTTGAGTCGTACCTAGTGACTAGTGGTGTTACGCGCTAGCTCTCTTTCACTCTACTTTTAATATTTACTATATTTATTAGCCAGCAACCCTTATTGGCGGCCAGATTTAATTAAGCAACCGTATATAATATAATACAGAAAAAAATTTGCTTTAATTTGATATATAAATTATAAATGTACGTTGTGGGTGTATAAATGTAACAAATTCATACCTGTGTATACCTGGCTGCGAAGAGGTGCGGCCAGGTGCGCAACGGCAACCATAATTTTTCAGAGTCTTTATAGATGTTGCCGTAAAGTAGACGACATTTCATTGAAAAAAAAAGTCAATGAAATTTCTTACGGATTATGAATTATTAATAATTTAATTAAAAATACTAGCGGCCACATTTTGATAGGCAACCTAGTGGATATAAATACTCCTAATCATGAATATATGTAAAAATTTGGTTTTCAGCAAACACTCGATTGGTACACTGATTCTGCAGCCGGATCTCGTACTATGAGTATAGGGTTTTAGATTTTTATGGGCTCATAGGGAGACTCAGGGTGTCTTTCCTAGGCCTTTAGCCAAACGCCACTTTAGCGCTTGTCTACAGAGAGAGTAGAAATCAAAATGTATGGGGATGACACCGACAAGTGTTAAAATTTACGTCAATTCCAAATAATTTGGTTTTACATGTAGAATAACATGTAGACAAGCGCTAAATGGCATTTGGCTACAGCTGCAGGCTTGTCTATGTGCAAATGAAAATGAGATAGTTTCGGCAGTGTTCTATCACATGTACTTATTGAGACTGGAACTGACATACCTTATTAAAATTGTACAATGTTAGGCAAATAATGATTTTTAATTTTTTAATTAATAATTAATTTTATTAATTTTATTTAACTCGTATATATATCCCCAAGCAGTAACTGGTGACCGCTCTCCACTAACTACATTTTACACTTTATTTCCAATGTTTAGAGACTACTTTTGTATTAAAAAATTAAAGGGATGATTTTCAACAATCTTCAACAGGTTCATTGTGATTTTATTTCAGTGTCATTTGTAAACATGTGATTGATGTAAATTGTTTCTATGGGTTCCTATGCCTGAACGAATTAATTAACTATTATATAGCATTCCTATTATAAAAGAGAAAAAATTTGATGGTTTTTTTGTTGTACACTCCGACGACTCTGAAGTAGCTGAAGTAGTAGTAGATGTAGCCTGAAGTAGCTTTTGATCTCAATATTTTTACTTAGTTATTAAATTATTAAGAGTAAAGCAAATAAAATTAAATCTTAACTAGTTTTTTCAACAATAAATATAATGATTATTATTGTAAAACATGCAAAAAGGTTAACAACACTTTTAAACTTTTTGTTTACAATATAAAGGCACCTTGAGGTCAACGCTCAAATGTACTAAAGAATAGTTGATACAGACTAGTTTAGTGTTCTCTATGACTGACCATAAACAAAACTACTTTTTTAAAGTAGGTAGGTACTTGATGTTTGCGTACAAGCCATTCACTATTTGAAACAATGTATGACATAATAAGATTCATACATAATAAAATTCTTATAAGAATTGACAACACAATCCAGCTACTTTTACTTTTACGTAGGAATTTTATCAACATTTACATGCAAATATCAATCTTAAGCCAAGTGCATGTAAACTTATTATCCTACAACAAGTTTGAATGCCCCCAGAACCAGTTTGCCCGTGATATTTATACACAATACCGTCAACAAGTATAATAACAACCGGCTCGGAAAGGACACCTTTACATTTTTATCAAAAATTGGAGGTAAACAAGAAAAACTTATTGGTATTGGCGCCACTAAGTTATTTTATCAATGTTAATGCCTGAGCGCGTCTAAGATTGTTGTTAGCAGTCGTAAATATAATTGAGGATGTAACGGTGAGCTGTTACAACATAAATACACTTACCACGACTGTAGATGTGTTCAGAAAACTTTATAATCCAATTACAAACAAGTCTTGGCACATAACTTGATTATCTCGTGTTCAGAACGCCACAAACTGTAACTGTTATCACTACAGCCAGATGTTTCACCACAGTTTTACTGCTATAGCACTCATTATGTTTTGAAACGAAATTGGCACAAGGAAAGGAAAACCAAACACAAAAAAAAATAGCAAACAGCCTCCTCCACTCGACGCAGTGGCATTGACATTTCTGTGTTGCCATAGTTTGCTTGTAAAACACCCAGAAATAAAACTTGACAATCCAAAAAATAATATAGACTTTTATACTAAATTTAATATTATGATCTATTGCACTTACATACTTTACTTTTATTTTTGAACTATATAACTCTTATTTTTGTTAATAAAAAACTACTTAAATGTTTTGTACTTATAGGATTTGATTTTACCCAAATACGAGGAAATTGTATACAGATACAACATTCACAAACGTCATATTACGTTTTGTTATTGCAAATATTTTTGTATATTTGAAAATTGCAATTAGCGAAATAATTACAACTAAAAATCGGTATAGAATAGAAATATTTTTTTTTTTCATATTGTGTCCTGGTATAAGAATAATTTAGTTTGATATTATAAAATTAACTTTGTGATAAATATTACAATGCGAAAAAACTTATCATAACAACTTAAATTATCAGTAGATACACAGCAGAGCAGCTGATTATCTCGATAGTGACTGCGCCACCTATAGTTAACAAATTGAAACTAAACTTAACTTAGATAAGAACCATTAAGAATATTCATCCGCTAGGTGTCAACCACTGACCTAGTTCCCTCGCCTAGTAAAAATAGCGGTCGACAATAGCTCAAACACTATTTATAGTGCGTATCTAAAAAAATCTTAAATCACACACTGTTATCTCGGTTGTTTTTTTTTAAACATCACTCGAATACCGTCCGTGTGTCAGTCACGTCGTGGTCCGTAACGCGCAACTCACAAAACCTACCTATACAACATAAGTGCCACCGTAATCGATAAAACCTCGCGTTACAGACAATCAGTTGTTTTTTCGTGAATACCAGTGCCCTTTTAGTTGCCGCTAGAGATTTTAGTTTAGTAAACAAGGGAACATGTTATATTAGTGTTTTAAAGTGTTAGATACAATGGAAAGTGTTAAAAGGTACATAAGGAGTGAGTCTGCGAGTTGCGCTCATATGGTTGAAGAAAGCACTGCGAATAACAGGAAGACGGCTGACCCTCACGAGAAGCTGAAGGCGCTGCTGAACTCTCCCGAAGATGACACGGACGACACCCTGCCTCCGTCAGACGCCCCCAAGTTCGGGACCGTCATACACAATAGAATCTTCGTGGGAGGGTTCTCTCTGACCACGACTGACGAGGACCTGTGGAAGTTCTTCTCAGGTTTCGCGACCGTCACAGCCGCCAGGGTGATCTACGACCGTGCTGGTGTCTCCAAGTGTTATGGTTTCGTCACATTCGCCAGTCCCAGAGTCGCGAGGCTGATCGTCAAACAGGTTAGTCCTTTATTTCGTGTGTAGTATATTGGAAAAGTTTTCAGCAACAATGTGGCCTGTATCAGAATGTTTAATTAAAAAACTGGGAGTTTTAATTCATGGTGTTGGTTGGATGTTTCAGTTTGAGGTGCAAACTGGGTCGAAAATTGTATGATCCCATTGTTTCGAGTCAGTGGGTTGGGGACAATGAAGTCCCGAATTTGTGGGCAGCTCGATATTTTATTATCTGTACGATCTTTAGCAACTCTGTGTATTTCAGGCTCGGTTCAGGTATTTACATGCTACAAAGTATGGCCACATTAAACTATGTAGGTATACATACGTACCTATATACATAGTCGGCTGGGCGATGTTCTTTGTTTAGCATTTTTGACTCACGTTACGATTTTTTGAAAGTGTTTTATTTTACGGGCAAATAGAATACATTGTTGTGTAGACCTTTTATGTTGTAGAGAAAATGTTTCGCTCTGATTTTTATTCGAAGATCGATTTTGTTCGTCACGCTGAATTAGTATTTGTAAGAGCGATTTTAGTTCGATTCCCGGGTGGAGCTAACATTAGCTTTCGAATTCCTTTTTCATTTCAACGACTATAATTAATGGGCAAAAAGTGGGTGTGTATCGACGATTCTATCATTAAAATTTTGGATAAGATAAACTGATAATTATTATGTTACAATTACAACAATTATCTTCGAAAGGTCACGAAAAATCTTATAACTTTCGTGAGACATACTAAATTAATTACATTACGTTTTTCGGTTTTATGTTTTTCGCGATGCTTCAATCGCCGTATCGCGGGTCGCGGAATGCTGCTCATGAATATGGCCTCTAGCATGGCTTGAAACTAGTCGAGTCCCTCGTCAAATAATTACGGGCTAAGCCGAAAAAAATAATAATTAAGTACACAAAAATGTCTTAAGAAAAATAGTAACCGATTGCAATTTTTATACTTTCGGCATTGAACTTCACACAGTAGATAATAAAAGTGATAACAAACTAGTAGTTTATATACTGATACATACTGATAAATAATGTTATATATGTAGCTAGCACATCTGAATGACATATGACTTGGTTAGAATTGGATCACAATGGCTGGGGGAAGCAAATCATTGGATGCGGTCAACTTATTGTTTATTGTGCACTAGGAAGGGGCCTAAGTACTTGTGTCTAGTCTAGTGCATTCAACTGATCAGATTTCCTTCCTCTTAAACGTGATTTTGATTGTAGAGCAATAGATCGCGATTTTGATTTCAGTTTTAGGCTCAGTGCCCACCTATTCTTTTTTTGGTATTTCCAATTTTAGAAATTCTTAGTTAAACCTAGATCGAGGTTTGCGTCTGTGTCTGGTTTATACGTAACAATAGACTTATCCTCTATTATATGGCACTCAACTGGTGAATAAATGTAACATTTTACACGCAACTCGATCTAGTATTTCAGAGATATTACGATCTAGTATTTCAGAGATATTATGTGATTATGTAAGTAAACCTTTTTGAGACATTTTCTTCCGTATCCCTTCGGTTCGCGTGACGATAATGACCATCCCTGACCTGCATTTTTATAGGACCATGCAGCCATAGTTTGGCGTGGAATTTTTTAGGGTGTCGGCTTTTATTATGGCGCATTTCCTTATACCATAAACAGATAAACTTCTTATCAATTTAATCTAAAAATATAAAACAGTAAATTTCAATTTTCCTTATAACGTTGCTACGTAAAAGAAAGTTTTATGACTTGTGTATAACGTTAGAACTTTAACTCGTCGAGTACCGTCATTATAGACACAATTATAGACCAATAGGTTGCGGTCACCGGTGACCGCTTGGTGTTTGACAGTTTAAACTACAAATCTAAATCAGGCCAAGCAGGGAGATTAAGTACAGGTTCACCGTAGGAAACCGTTGGAAGCCAGGCCTTTCTCTAGGAACCGTACAATCCAGCAGTAAACTATCATAGGTTGTTGATGAGAACATAGGTAGTATATACGTAGTAGGGTCAAAACACAACATCACGCTTCATCACTTCACTACATAGTATAAAACAAAGTCGCTTTCTCTGTCCCTATGTCCCTTTGTATGCATAAATGTTTGAAACTACGCAACGGATTTTGATGGGTTTTTTTTAATAGATAGAATGATTCCAGAGAAAAGTTTATATGTATAATACATGCATATTGCACCTATGTGAAGCCGGGGCGGGTCGCTAGTAGAATATAAGAGAGGATAGGTAAATATATTACAGTCCCATGTTTTGCCATTCACGTCACGTTTTGTTATCCATCCCCAATTAACGGTAACTACCAGATAGGCATTACCTAATCGTGCACAATCACGTCTAGTGGTTCAACCCTTAGGTTCCCTTATTGCAAAAGGAAGGTAATTCTGTTTGCAGATAATGAATAACTAATAATGTATCTCGTTAAGTAGGTACCTACTTCTTCATTGCAAGTTTCAGTTTCCATTAAAATGCTTAAATAACATTAGAGTTTTTAAAGTTCTTTATTGACATTATCGTTCTCCTAAGAAGATTATTTGTAACTAAAAATGTTATAGGTATAAACGGCCAAAATGAGCCTTGTAGGTACTTATCTATGTACTCCAAGTTCCCTTAAGAATTCCACTATTTAACGGTAGAAGCCGTACTTAAAATTCGTCTAGTAATTTTCGTGTTTCGGTAGGTACTCCGTTCATCCAGACAAGTGTGGCATAGGACTGGTTTTTAAATACTTACTACTTCATGACTTCAAAACAAATATAGCACACCTCAGTCTGCTATTTAAGTCGTTAACAGCCTATAAGTGCCCACTGCTGAGTAAAGCCTCTTCTCACACGGAGATGGTTTGAGCATTAATCACCACACTTGCTCAATGCGGGTTGGCGATTACAAACTCATAATTTGAAATTGTATAGGTAGCGTCATCCTCGCTAATTATACTAGTAGTAGGCACTAATCTGGGCACGCTGTCACAATATTTAAAGATGAACACATTCATAAAAAAATATTTATACTCTATGGTCATCTCACTGGCAACATCATTGTACTTCTTTGTGCACGACCTGTCACGTCGTACCCTG